CTTTATACAAATACTATTAGCTGAGAAATGATTATATATTATAAAAGTACAACTAGCTATATATATAACTTTAGATTATTTAATTTAAATAGTTTATCTAAAGGTTTTATACTAGCTACTATATCTGAAATTTTTCTATTTAAATTCTCTAACTATATATCATTTTATCTGTATTTTATCTTTATTTTACCTAAATTTATCTAACTATTTTATTTAAATTTGCTTAACTTTGTATTACTTTTATTTTTAAAAGATATTAACAGAGCTAATATATGTTTACAAGCTTTATAATTTGGAACCTAAACCTTATCTCAAGATACCTCTTCATCAACTCTCTAATTAATAAGGTATTATAGAATTTAACTATGCTATACTATATCTTAATTTAATTTGAATATACTTTTGTTTGATATTTGTATAAACTTAGTTTCTACTATAGCTCTCTACTAAATTAGTTTTCTGTATCTTCAAATATTTTATAAGAAGATTTTCTCAAATTTAGTTAGCTACTAAGCCAAGTTAGTATTGTTATATAACCTTAGTTCTTATAGCTATCTGAGTATTATAAACTTACATATATCTACTTAATCACTACCTGTGTATGCAGACTTCTTTGTCAAATCATGTGTTAACTAGTATAACTGTTAAAAATTATACTACTTTATCTAACTCTGAATTTCTATTATGCAGATCCTTTGCTTATAGATTCTATCAAAATTTATTCATATAATATTATATTTCTCAAATGCTTTGTCAAACTTTTTTATATCTAATTAATATTAGTATAATATAATTTATAGGGTTACAATCTTCAGAAACAAACAGAGTTTACTATAAGTTGAATACAGAGATTTGAGTAATTATTTAATTTTGTCAACAGTGAGATTTGAATTCTAGACCTCTTATATAATAGTCTAGTAACCTAACTACTACAACAAGATCACTAGACCTATATATAATTCTTAATATAAGTATCAGAGATAATAAAACAAAAATTAATTTTATTTAATATAAAAAATTATAATAATTTTTATTTTATATATTAATTTATATATATTAAAAAGTTATTTTTAATAACTACTTAATAAAATTTAATAAAAAATTTTTATATATAAGCTGTTTCAAGAAATTGCCAATATCTCTTAATCTACTAGTCTATTTTGAATAATTTAACTACTAAAATGTTTGTTTAAATAAGATAATTCTGACAAGTATAAAAATAATAAAATCTAATTACAGGATCTCAAGATCATTTAACTTTTATATAATTTTTTAGAATTACTATATCATATTTTGAATATTGAATAATTTTTAATATACTAGTTCATTTTAGATTATTTAACTATCAAAATGTTCATCTCAATAAAATAATTCTAACAAGTACAAAATCATTAAAATCTAATTATATGATCTTGAGATCATTAAAATCAATACAATGTAGACAATCAACTGAGAAATAGGTTTTTATATATGCAACTCATTTCTTAGTTAATTGTCTATATTATATTGATCTTTAATGATCTCAGAATCTTGTAATTAGATTTTAACGATTTTGTGCTTGTTAGAATTGTCTTATTGAGACAAACATTTTGATGGTTAAATCATTCCAAACGGACTAGTATATCAAAAGTTATTCAACATTAAAAGCATTTACATACTAAAAAACACTATTAAAATAAAAGTTGAACGATCTTGGGATCCAGTGATTGGATTTTATCATTTTTATACTTGGTAGAATCGTCTCATTGAGACGAACATTTTGGTAGTTAAATCATCCAAAACGGACCAGTAAATCAAGAGATATCAACAATTCCTTGAATCAGCTCTTATGATTTTAATTCTATATGATTATAGAATTGAATAAATATTTTAGCAAATTTTATTATATAGTTGTTAAGATATCTTCAAAGTTGTGTTAATATTCAAAATATCTATTAAATTAGAAGCTACTTATGAAATGAAATTAAAAAATTTTCATTGAATTTTATCAGGTGATTGTTGAGACATTGTTAAAATTTTTAAAATTTTTAAAATTTTGATAGATGTACCATTCTTTTTATTAGAGAATTATTTCACGTAAGGTCTATATCTCTATCATTTCCCTGACTTTTTTTTTTCTTCATTATTTCATTAACCTAATAAGATTTATTACTAATCAATATCAGACTTTAATCGTCACTCTCATGATGTCGGTGAAAATTGTCGAAGCAAAAAAGTGTCGGGGAAATGATATGGATCCGTTTTTTTCTAAGATCACTACACTTACAATAAAGGCAATGTATTTATCAGTTGCTGATTCAAATCGACCAATAATCCTTATCGTTATCCGTTATGTGTTAAGGATCTATCCGTTTAAAATCAAATATCCACATTCAATCCGAATTATCGGATTTAAATAATTTCACATGTCACGTGAAATTTTATTTCATTTAGACGGATACTAAATATAACATAAGGCAATGCATTGTTTTAAAAAGCATATCAATATCTGAGAATTTTTCTAATTGCTACTTTATGGTAAACCTGTATTTAAAGCTTTTTTATGCATTTAAATCGTAAATCGTAAAATATTTGTTATAAATGTTTAAAAATGCTATTGAGATATCAGTTTTAATTTTTTTTATTCGATTTTTGAACTCCTACGGAATTCAATTCAGTTTTTTATCAATTAAAGAGTAGAAAATTACGTAACAATAAATATGGTTTTAAACAATTTTTTATGAGGAGGGGGTTTTTTAAATCAAAATCAGAAGTTTGATTTCTTCTAGCGGCAGCTATTAAAACACGAAATTATATTTTTTCTTCGTTATCCAAAAAAAAAAAAAATAAAAAAAAATCGAAAATGAGTAATACAGATTTGAAAGAATTTTTTTCTATCATTAAATTCTTTTTTTCAATGACTTTGGTGCTTTTATTTCTCCCCATTTTATTGGTTCCAAAATGTTTAATGTTAATATTATCACCTAGTTATTCTATATTTAGCCTTATAATAATTGGATTTATTTTTTTTACCGTATTTTTTAGATCTCATAATGATGATTCTCTAGTTGTCTGGTCTCCTAATAATTTTCAAACTGATCATTTTGATTCATGGACCTCAATTGGAGACTATATTCAATTTGTAAATGTCACTGGGCTTATTGCCATGAGAATTCGTTCTCTGATCGGCGTACCAAAACAATCGATCCCTCGTAATTTCTATATTGATCCACCAAAACAAATTTCAAGTGATAAATGGCTTGAGCTTTTACAAGAAGTTATCTTGAAAATTGTTGATGATATATTACGTGAAAAATATGAATTCCAGTCCATAAACAGAGATGAAATATACAACCTGGTCACAAGTGTAACTAAGGATATAATCAAGGAATACAAAGAATCTGAAACACAACTAGTTCCGAATTATGCACTTCTTTCTAGTGGTGCACGTGTAATTCCTCATATGACTTCTAGTGAATATGTTGGATATCCAGAAGAATTTGTTAAACGTCAAGTTTCAAAGATGTTTAATATCAAACCTATTCAATCAAAACCGGCAAAGATCGTCTTAACATCAAACAATGAAGCAGGAAACTGTTTTTGTTTTACTGGTAATCATGGACAACTTGCAATTCATTTAAGTCATAATATAAAGGTGACTTCAATCACTTACGAACATTTAAACCCTGCATTGGCATTGGATCCGGATGATATGCGACGTGCGCCAAGGACATTTGAAATTCTTGGCATTTCTGTTGATTCCCAAGAGAAATATGATGATGAAAATTTCCAACTTGGAAGATTCGATTATGAACTTGATGGACCTCCAGCTCAAAGATATACTATAAAACACTCAAATTTGGAATCATTACCAGTGATGAAGGCAGTTGTCTTAAAAATTATTGGTAATTGGGGAGATGAAGAACTCACTTGCTTATATCAAGTGAAGGTTCATGGATATGTCATAAAATAGAATTTAACTCGCCAACCTTGGAACCGGTGTTGTTAACGTTATCGTTATTATTATTATTAGATTTTTGAATCTGGTTATTTAACTGGTTCAATACAAGTCACGAAACATAACAAGTTTCAAATTTATTTATATAATTATAAAAAATAACGATAGTGATAATGTAAATAAATAAATAAATAAATAAATTATATAAATTCTATTTGGCTAGTTTTCCTTCTACGGGATGCTTTGTGCTACGTAATAACTTTCCAACAAATCTTTCGCAATAATTAATCACGTGATAGTGCTCGATAAAAATTTTTTTATTTAATTGAGAATTCAAATAAAACAAATTTCATTGAATTTGGACAGATATCACCACTCAAGTTTTAATATAAAAAAAAACATCTGTCAAAATAGAAACTGCTTCAAATTTTTTTAAACTTTGAGTGAATATACTATCTGACCAATTAGATCATCAGATTTGGTCTGGTAGTTGTCATTACGGCAAATTTAGTTTTTGGATATTTTTTTTAATCAATTTTATTAACGACCTCTTAAGGGTAGGGTGAACATAGATCAATTTTTATATGATCTGTATAGTATTGGCAAAAAATGAAAATATGCTTATTATAAATGTTCCTTGATTTAATTAATATCTATAAAAATTTTTTTTTTTTTTTATTAAGGTGGCTTATATTGCTGAGCGAATTTTATTAGTTTGATATATGGGGTCACACATAGGTTTCCTTTACAGTTTGTAATTACATGAAGAGTGTACAACAAGTTATATGTACAACTTTAGTCATTGTTTAATTTAAGTAGTCTGCTATTTAGATATTAGACTATTTGTTAGTATTACATTATGCTATCATACCTGTAATCTGTTTATGAGTTACTTATTTAAACATTCTGTTTAACTAATCTATACCATTACAAACTAATATCACTTTAATACTTAATCACTTATGTAAACTAGTTCATTACAGATCTATTTATCGATTTCAGCTTAGGTCCTCTTAGGTTATATTATACTCAACATATTGTGAATATCTGCAAAGCTAGTTAACCTCAAAGCATACCTACTAGAGCAGCTTATAGTTATTTCATGAACTCATCTATCTTAGATCTTTATAGATATTCATATGTTCTAGTTCTTACTGTAGCTTTCCATTAGTATTATTTATAAATCTCACTAAGGTCTATTATGAGTTAGATCCTCCTAATTTAGTTAGTTGTCAAGCCAAATTGGTGTAATTATAATATATAGCGATTTCCACTATGATATAGACTTATATTACTAGTCAAAATGATAGTATTCAATATAATGATTGAAAGCTGATTTATTGCCAAATAATTATTAATTATTAGGTCTGACAATCTAGTGTAGTAGATAGGTTGTCAGACTGCTATACAAGAGGTCTAGAATTCAAATTCTACTATTGACAAAATTGAATAATTACCTAGACATCTGTACCTAACTTATAGTAAACTCTATCTGTTTCTAGAATTGTAACCCTGTAAATCACATTGCACTAATATTGTTCAAACATTAGAAGTATAACAGAATGTTGAAGCTGCATTATATGAACAAATCGAGATAGAATCTACAGGCAGAGGACCTGCATAGTAGAATCCTGAGTTAGATAAAGTAGTACAGATTTTAATAGTCATACCAGTTAATGCTTGATCTGGTAAAGATTTTTGAGTACAAAGATGTAAATCAGAAAAAGTACGAGTAAGTTTGTAATATTGAGTATTATGACAATACTAACTTGGCTTGGCAGCTAACTAGATTGAGAGGATCTACTCTATAAAATATTCAAAAAGACACAAAAGTCTAATCTAGTAAAGGACTATAGCTAGAACTAGGTTTATACGAACATTGAATAAGGGTATATGTAAGCTAGATTAGGATATAGTGTAGCATAGTTAGGTATTGTATTACCTATCTATTAGGGGGCATTAAAGTGGGGACTTATCTAATAAGACTCTAGGCTCATAATAATAAAGTATATGATATATGTTAGCTTGGATGTCTCTCAAAAGTGGAGTAGTACAGAGTTATAGTTAACTTAGTAATACTATACTTGTGAATATGAGATAGGCCAGAAAGTTTAAATAGGTAATCTTTTAAGAGATTACAGATATAGCAGCTAGTGCAGAAACTTTGAGCAAACTATTTAAAATAGACAATCTAAAATTGTATGTGTGGCTAGTTGTACTCTTACAATATATATCATATTTCGTAACTATAATAACCTAATAAAAGTTAAGCTAATAGCATTTGTATTAACA